CCGCGCGCGGGAGCGGCGGGCGCGCTTCGTGGGCAAGAACGGTGCCTGCAACGTGGCCCATAAAAATATCCGGGAGCAGGGACGCTTCCTCCAGGATGTCTTCACTACCCTGGTGGACCTCAAGTGGCCCCACACGCTGCTCATCTTCACCATGTCCTTCCTCTGCAGCTGGCTGCTCTTCGGCATGGTTTGGTGGCTCATCGCCTTCGCCCACGGAGACCTGGACCACAGCACCCGGCTGCAGCGCGGCCCCGCAGAGGAGGCGGCGGGGGACCCCGACACCTTTGTGCCCTGCGTGACCAGCATCCACTCCTTCACCTCCGCCTTCCTCTTCTCCATCGAGGTGCAGGTGACAATTGGCTTCGGGGGACGCATGGTGACGGAGGAGTGTCCGGCTGCCATCCTGGTGCTGATCGTGCAGAACATTGTGGGGCTGGTGATCAACGCCATCATGCTGGGCTGCATCTTCATGAAGACTTCGCAGGCCCACCGCCGGGCCGAAACCCTCATCTTCAGCAAGCACGCGGTCATTGCCCTGCGGGAGGGCAAGCTCTGCTTCATGCTGCGGGTGGGTGACCTCCGGAAGAGCATGATCATCAGCGCCACCATCCGCATGCAGGTGGTGAAGAAGACCGCCAGCCTGGAGGGGGAGGTGGTGCCCCTCAACCAGATTGACATCCAGATGGAGAACCCTGTGGGGGGCAACAGCATCTTCCTTGTCTCCCCACTCATCATCTACCACGTGATAGACAAGAACAGCCCCCTCTACGACATCTCCCCCCTGAACCTTCACCACCATGAGGACCTGGAGATCATTGTCATCTTGGAAGGGGTGGTGGAGACCACTGGCATCACCACTCAAGCCAGAACCTCTTACCTGGCAGATGAAATCCTCTGGGGCCAAAGGTTTGTGCCCATCGTGGCAGAGGAAGATGGGCGATACTCTGTGGACTACTCTAAATTTGGCAACACGGTGAAAGTGCCCACCCCTTCCTGCACTGCCAGGCAGCTGGAGGAGGACAAGAGCATTATGGACACCATGCCATTGTCCCCTAAAGGCACAATAAGGAAGAGGTCTGTCAAGCTAAAGCCCAAGTTTACCATAAACGATGAGCCTTCCTGATGCCTTTTGACTGACTGGGAAACTCTGTTAGGACTTTAATGTCTGAAAGATCTCATAAACTCAAAACACTGAGGTGGCCTCTTACTTTTTTTTTTTAAATTCAGGTTGGTAGCACAAGGTATGTTCTGGTGTTATTTATTGTGGGATAAATCTAAAGCTAATTATATTTTTTTAACCGTGTGAGAGATTTCAAGCAACACTGGGAGTAGGAAAATACGGTCTGCAGCTTTAAATTTCAATTCAGACTGTCCTATTTAATTGCACGATTTTTTTGCATTGATTCATCTGCAGGTAATGACATTTTCTCAAAAAAAAAATATATATTTATCCTCAGAGATTGCAGTACTTAAGGTCTTGCAGTGCCCTAAAGTCAGTAGGTTTTAACTGGTTTTTTCTAACTTGAACAATCAATATAGCAAAATAAAATATTAATTATTAATAAAGTAGGCTGGATTTAAATGATAACAAAAAAGTCAGGCAATGTTATGTATGACCCAAGACCAAATCTGGAAGTGTCTATGTACTATACTCTATATATACAGAGTATATTATACTCTATATTTGATAGAAATTAACTGCCAGATTTGTTTCATCCATATTGTATTGTATGGAGCCACTCCTACCACATACAATATGAAATGCATTTGAATATTTACTTTTGTTTATTTTAAAACCCTTTACACTTCTGAAATAAAACATTCAGGAATGTTTTTTGGACTGTACATCTCTGATATTAAGCAATGGTTTGCCTTTAAAAAGAGTAGCGGATAGTATACAGCTGAAAGTAACTATAAATAGGAAAAATTCTGTATTCTAATTTCTAAAGGAAGAGAAGCCCACACACAGCCCACACATGGCAATAGGATGTCCAGTGAAAAAAATTAATCTCTCCCTTCAGTCAGTGTGAATTCTGATAGATAATCAGGGAATATAAATAGAATTAGATATTTTAAAGGAAAGGGCAATGCTGAGTGCTGAAATTATATCTGCATGCAGCAGGCAAAACCTTTCACTCCTTTCCCTTTTTGTAAAATAAGCCGAGGTCTTTGTGCTTAGGGGAAGGAGGGATATGTAAGACAGTGTGGTCACTTATGGGATGCTGTGTCACAAAACACACTCCTGCTGAGGAAACGATTCCCCTCCCATTTACATCCTGACCTCCCTACACAGTCAGTCCCTGCCGTGGCTTTAAGCTGAATTCAAGATCTGGCATTTACCAGCAAGCGTGAAGGAGCCATGTTCATCTCCTCTGTTCCACTGCGACAATAGGAGCAATTCTCCTTAGCACACTCCTGCAAATACTTTATCTGGGGATTTTAGTTACAGCAGCAATTTCATTTCTATGCAAGGTTATTAGGAGATAGCAGCAGTATTAACTACAATGTGCTATTAACAGGGCAAACTGCCACTCAAGTGAAAAAAAAAGGTAATGTTGTCCAAATCAAACCTACGTAAGCATTACCAAACCAACATCTAGTTGCACAAGCTGTGCAGACAGGCACCACTGTTACTGTCAAACCCCGTTATTCAAGGAGCTTGTAGTATCAAGTTCATGTGTATTACAGAGTTCACGACAGACACCTGAAATCGTTTGTGTTGGCAACAATATGGCAAATTTTTGATGCCTTGTCAGTGTAACAGGATGACAAACTAACTCAAAAGTGTGACAAAGCTTCCATACTGACCACTGAATATTTTCAGGTACCTACAATAGCATGAAATAGTATTTGGGTAAAATCAAATGCTGTTTGAAAATGATAAAATAGTAGTTATATCTTTAATATTTATGTGTTTCAGTTTTATGAAGACCTGTATCAGCATTATCGGACTGCCAGTTAAGAGAATAAATGCCTGTTAATTTTTTGAATTCCCAATACACCAATACTATTCAGTGTACAGCTCTAAAAATGTGGTCTGTGTTCCACAATCAAAGGCAGTGAAATTAGCATTAACAAGTAGTCAGCAAAGAAAATTTGGAAAGGCATATTTACATTTGTAATCATAAAAAATCCTACTTCTTAAAATAGAGAATGATTAAATGCTTTTGATGATTAAATTTCTTCTGTAAGACTGAGTCTAGTCACATTGTTTTCCAGCTTTGCCTTTTACTGCCTCTGTTCCATCCCCTTTGGGGGGTACTTACAGTAGAGCTGTTTGCATTTCCTACACACCTTTGTTCCTTTCAGATTTCTTTGTTCTTTATCGTTTGTCACGGTATCACTGCTCTATCCTTACAAGAGTCATAGATAAAATATTGGAGTTAGCTTTCCAGTGACTTGAAGTTGTTGGCTTCTCCATGGTCTCTTTAGTGCCTTATTTGAATGTGTAAGATACACCTTAAGGTTCTCGCATAAAACCTTGTCAGCTCTAGTAGCATTTTAAAGCTCTTGTCAAGATTTGACCTAAATGTGAAGCAATTTCAGCAGCACTACCATGCAACTATTTTCAGGAACTGATGCAAGCCTCTTTTTCCCTCAGGGAAATCTGTGCTACAGAGAGGTAGAAAATTCTCTTTGTTCACTGTGAGATGGGAGGGGAAAGATGGGAGGAAACAGTTTGCATGCACTTGGCTACTTTCAGGACCACTGTATATGTTGCTTCTTTTACAAGAATCTGCCTAATTTTCTGAAATCTTGCAATAAATAGGCACAATATTATGAGGAAGGCAGGATTTGTACTATTAAAATCACCATAGCAAATTATTTCAATCAGTGTTGGTGATTTTGAACGTCAGGATTCTTGTAAGTTTAAATTCTTCTGTTCTTTCACCATTTAAAATATTCAGAAGCATTTCAGGGGCAGAGCAAGGAAAAAACGTGTATTTATTTTGTACTAGGGATATTACTTCTTTTGAGGATCCTTTCATTTTGTCATTTACAAAGTATTTGGGGACACAAATATATGACATTTTTTTTAAAGTTGTACTTATGCTGACCCCCCACCATTCTCTGTAGGAAAGTCCTGAAGAAGCCATCAGTGCTATGATTTGACATCGAAAAGTCCTCATTCTTAGCAGTGAGCTAATGCTGCATTTTCCATAGTTAAAGTCCAAAGTGAGTGAGCTTTTGAACTTCCTCCCTCAGCCTCTGTCTGCTTTTTGGTACATGGTGTCTCAGTTGGGATCCTGCTGAGCAGCTGGGGGAATGTCCTGCGGCTCCCACCACTGCTACCTCTGCACAGAAACCAGCAGGAGGGAACCTGGGGGCTACACGCTTGGGGCTTGCCCTGACCGAGGAAAGGATGTAGACAGAAGAAGTGGGAAGCTACAGGTTTTGTAGCAAGCCATCCCTGAATTTAGGGTGTGGTGAAACCATGTCCTTGGAAATTGCCTCTCATGTGTTTCAGAGGCTGGAGAGCATTGTCATTTTATGCTCATTGTCCACGCTGTTTAGTGTGTTCGAATTGGAGTTTGTTAAACTGTTTGGATGGACAGAAGGATTACAGAGCTTATTAATCAGAAAAAGAGAATGTATAACATTTATGTTATATGCCATAGTTTTGAAATGCTTGGTGACCACTGGTGAATACATAGCCACTGGGCCTACCAGTTTCATGTTGCGTTTCCTAATGAAATCAAGTGACATACGTATACAAAATCAGAGTACAACAAGGTCTGACTTTGTGTCTTTATCCCCCAAGGCACATGATAAGTATAATATTATAGCAGTGTACTTCAGTAGGAACATCTCTCTGTAAAATAGATACAAACCAGAAGTGAAGTCAAGAAGCTGCATATTAAGGCAAAAGAGGGTCAGGGTCACAAAATAAAAATGCTTTAAATCCACAAGTGACACAGTGGGAAGACAATGTCTTGGAAGTAATAAACTATTTTCTTTTTAAGCCCTTCATAGCAGCAAAGGTGTGACAATGCTGAGATGAGAGTTTCTAATATGATCATATTAGAACCTAAAAAACAGATGAGAGGCTGATATAAAAGTGTTTAACAAGGCCAGGGCTTACATGCTAGCACAGATTAGCGACGGGGTCAATGTCAAAATTCAGTCTGCCCTGTAAGACGAGACTGTAGGCTGGGCATGATCAGCATTGCTCAATCCAGTGGGTAAATAGTGCTGCGTGTTGGGCAAGGTACAAGTCACAACAGAGCCCTGTTGGAATCACTGTTACGAGGGCTTTGTGGTGACTGGTTCTTGTGTTTAGTTTTTTATTAATAGTTAATAGTAACAAACTAATGAATAATTGATGGTTCTTTGAAAACTGAATTTGCTTCCTCATGTTTACCTTCCTCTTCCACTCTTTCTTTGTACATTGGTCACACCTGAAGGTAATCATTGTAGATCTACCAGCACAGATTGTTTTGATTTGGGATAAAGCACTGGAGTGCTACAGGAAACAAAATACAAAAATAAAATAAATATTAGAAAAACAAAAACCTCTATGAAATTGCCAAGCTTGCAACTTTCACGGTGGTTCCTTGTACAAAGGATGGAAATATCTATTCCTAGGAAACTACCATAGATCATTCTTTGTTGTTAATTTTGCAGGTCCCTGTGGAAGAGAAAGTAGTTTAGCTCTTTGGGTTTGGGTTGGGGAAGAAGAGAAGAAGGTTCAAAACCACTATATTTTAGACTTCCTGGTTACACCTTTCTTTGTCCCCATGCTCAAAGTCGTACTGGCACTGCCACTACAAATGGGCAAGATCAATGCTTTTTTCAGTGCATTTCCCTGTGTGGTTCTGCATTCATTCAGGGCCAGCCACCCTGTTCCAAGGTGGATATCTCAAACTCCAACTGCCCTGGAAAGGCAGTAGAAAAATTACCACCCATTTCAGTGGATTTTTGGATCAAAGAATTTAATCTGCCAACCTAATGAGAGCATGTGCTGCAGCAGAATGAGGGATTTAATCAGCACTACAGACCATACTCAAGCAAGGTTGCTGTTTGAGGTGAGAAGCCCCTTGTGTGAAGGAGGCTTTGGGTAAGATGGACCTGAGCAGGCGGTGGGACGTGTGCTCAATGTGGCTGGTGACTGTCTAACTGCCTCTAACAAATGACTCAGTGTACTATTTTTGATTCAGCAAAGGAGAAAGATACGTGATACAAATCTCCACACCCCCCCAAGGAGAACTATTAAAAGAGCAGAAGACATTCCTGAGAGGCTGCAGATACTGCTGCCTCCATCCTGCTCTTAGCACTGCTGGTTGCCTACAGAGGACGATATGCTTCATGTTTTTCTGGCTCACACCCCTATTTTAATACATAATTGGGCTTTAAAGAATCATCACAGGCGAATGACTCAGTTTAAAAGTAATTTTCAAAAATCAAAACCTGCAGCCCCTCTTTGCCACTTGCCCCTGTCAGCCTCTGTGCCTGACAGATGGCAAGTTTAGGAGAGGTATCTTAACCAGCTGCTTTACTGCAAAGCTGAGCAATCAATCCCATCTCAACCCGCGTGACAGTGACCTCACAGAGAACATGTCTCCTCTTTCCTCCCCTCACAGGAGCTGCGGCCTACCCTGGCAGGAGGCATGGAGCGTCCCATCCGTCTCTCGGCCCATGCTGCCGTGAGGGTGGTGAGGCCCTGAGCTGGGAGCAGGGCTGCCACGTGCTATGGCAGGAGGTGGGAGACACCCCTTTCCCTGGCTGTTCCTTGTTCATTTGCTATTTTAAATGGCAAATACCTGCTTATTTTTTTGCATTTACGTTTTCTCTGCACAAGAAAGGGCAGGCACAGAGTATAAATAGCTTTGTTA